GTTCCCAGGTAAAGAGGGTGCTTCATGTTCTTTCAGCCCCAAAGGTGAAGGTACTGTAGCCCTTAGTGCACACTTGCAGCAGCCGGAGTATTTTAGTCACTCCACTCTGCTTTCTTTTCCTTTGGCAGTGCTGTTGTATTGTGATGACATGGAGAGTCCCAGTGGTTATTATTCCCTCTCATTTTGTGTATGATCTTGTGAATTTATTTGTTCCTTTCTTTCCCCTGCTAGTCCTAGTGACAGCAGCACACGTTAACTTATATTTCAGAGCAAATGATGTAAACCTTATTGTGTCTTTGTCCAGAACTATATTGATGAATAAATATCTGGTTTAATTGCACATTCCGTGGATTCAATAAAAAGCACAAGAACTTGTGATGATCTGGGAGACATCTGTGTCTTTGGTGCTGGTTGAACGGAGGTGTATACATGGAATGCTGATGTAGGGCATGAAGGCAGCAAAGCTGTTTTCTGGCTGGTGATAGCCAGAGGGATGCTCAGTTTGTACCTAAGCATGGCTGGACTGAACATACATTCCCAGCCTGGATAGCTTGACCATAGGCAGTCTTAAAGGAATTGGCTGAGAAGACCTGGTCCAACCCATCCTGGAGTTTTCTGCACCTTGTGGCGCTGAGGAAGCCCCAGAAATGTATGTGCGTGTGTGCAGGGGTACCACACTTGAAGGCCATGGTGAAAAACCAGGGCAAACTGCTGGGTGTGGCATTCCACCTATTCCAACCTGTTCTGAGAGCTCCATCCAAGGTGTTTCCTGCAGGTGGCAGAAGAGAATGACTCCTGGCAGCATTTTTGCACCACATTTTCTCTACTGCCTGGGCAAGAGTGGCTTTATGATGAGACCTGTATTGCTTTAAACAGTAATGGCCAAATTATTCATCCCCTTCCTTACCTTGTTACTGCTTCTTCCTGAACATTTCCAGAAATGTAATTGTCTCTGAATTAGAGTTGTTAACCAGAGACAAATATATCTCAAAGTGTTGGGATGGGGTTTGGGGGGAGGCAGTGTGGTGGTGAATAGCTTGGATGGTGGGCAGACATACAGACAGCTTGCACTCACAAAGCTGTTAAGCTCAAAAGCCCATGAGGCTGGAATTTTTGGTTGTCTGGTTTGTTGGTGACACGTTGTCGGTGTTCATGTAGCTTTGAAGGCATCACCGCTGCCACCCAGCAGGAGGTGGCCCAGGCAGAAGCATGTGGCTGCCCCAGCCCTGGTTCAAGGCCAGGTTGGACACAGGGGCTTGGAGCAACCTGCTCTAGTGGAAGGTGTCCTTCCCCGGGGCAGGGGTTGGAGCTGGAGGAGCTTTAAGGTCCCTTCAACCCAAACCAGTCTGGGATTCTGTGCTGTCTGCAACATGGTGCAGTCAAACAGAGCTGGGCATCACTCACACACAAGCAGCACCATGTTTCAGGCAGCACTCTGCCAGAGGGCAGATGTAATTGTGTGTAAATTTGGGATCAGCGTACAAAAATAGAATAATCTGTTATTTTTGTTGCACTTGGATAAGGTATATTTGAGGTCAGATCTGTGCGCACTTAAAAGCATCGTTACTGTATGGGAGATGTTGCAGAAACCCCCATGGAATTATTCATGGACAGGAGATGTCTTTATAGGAGCAAACTTGGATCTTGGATGATCCAAACCTTCAAAAGGTGATTCAATGACAGCCTGAATGGGGGTGAATATGAAGCCTGAAGTCTGTTTTAATCCAGTATCTCATGTTTTAGGCACACTTAGTGCTCAGCTGTAAAGTCTCCTATATTGTCTTGCATTCTTATGAGCCTGCATAAGACGGTAGATGAAGAACCACCATTCCCATAGCTGTTCTCCAGCAGGACTTCAAGGACCTTCAGAGGCAAACCACACAAGCTGGCAAGTGCATGTTTTTGGTTTTTTACCTTCTCTTTAATGATGTAGCACAAAAAAAAAAAAAAAGCAAGTTGAAATAGATTTTTCTCCAAATATATATATATAATATATAATCTTAGTTAACTCAAGTATATACATTGTATAATAAATAATGCTTATAAAAAGAGACATTTTCTGAATATAAAATAAAAAAAATCGACCTCTACAACTTTATACAAAACTTTGGATACAGCAGATTGGTGGAAAAAAGATCTTCCATTCAGTGCTAGAATACCTGGCTACAGTAAAATAATTACAAGGCAATAAATGTTCTATTTAATATTAAATACCTTTTCTTGATTAAAAAAAACCAAACAACCAAACAAGGGATTTTGTTTAAAGTCAGGTACTTGGAGTCTTTCCAAACACAGGATTTAATATATACTTGTATCAGAAGAGGGCTTATTTCTGAATTGGGGAGGTTCCTTAGAGCTCTCCTGGGATCTTTAATGCTTTTCAGGCTGGGTGAATGCAGGAGCACCTCATCATGCTCTGCAGAGGGTGGACTGAGATTTGTGCTCTGGTTCTCTCCAGCCACAGGTTTGAGTGCCAAGGCCATTGAGGGGTCTTAGCACTCCATGTGAGGGGTCTTCCTCCCATTTTATTGCTCTGTGCAGTACCACATACTGCTGTTCCCCATGGATGAAGAAGAGAGTGGAGTAGAAGACACAGCTTTAATGGTGGGGACCTATTTCTATGTTAAATCTCTGATGCTTGAGAAATGGTGTCGGAACACAGTTATTGGTCCTCATCAGCTGCAGAGGAGCTCACCAGGACACAGGTAATACCTATTTCTTTACTTTCTAGGGTCAATACACCATGAAAACAAGCCCAAAATGAAGGGGCATGTGTTCAAGAAGGGGGGATAGGGCCTGGGGAGCAGGTGGAGGGGCAAACTCTGATTCTTCTGCACTGAGATGGGTCACGGGATGCATGTGGCCACGCCTGGGGCCCAAATCCCTGCTAATGGTAATCTGTGCTTGGTGAGGACCCCTCATGAATGATAAATCCCAAAATGCTATGGGAAGGAAAGGGTCTGCCTGGGACTGTGCTGTTGAGTGGAGGTCTCCCTTTCTCATCTGCCCTTATCTCCCTTTGCTGGATGATGTGGTTTGAACAAGTCTGCCTGGTGGGGGAAGGCTGAGGAAAAGGCTTGGACAGCAATTTCTTCTTGCCATAGCTTCTCTCTCCCTGTCATTACTGATGTTCAGAACTGGTGTAGCAGCTCACCAGCAGGTACCCTGTGCCTGGAGAGGTGCTCTGAGCTTGCTCTGGGATATAAAGTCATATTAGGGAACACTTAGTAAATAGGTGCATCAATGAGTGGCTCTGCCTGGGTCCTTCACAATCTCCCTTGGGCAGCTGTTACGGCAAGGAGGCTGCTGGAGTAGTGATACCTCCCTTGTGCACTCTGCCCACGTGCCAGAGGATCAGCTCTGGGCTCTGCTTTCCTGCCATCCTCCTCAGGGGGATTATAGGAGATGATATGGGGCTGTGAGAAGTAGTGTGGCCAAAGGGGAGGTGAAAGGAGAGGCTGGCTGTAAGGCTCGGGCAGGTTTGTTTCTCCTCGGAGCAGGAAGGAAGGAGCCTGGCTGCTGCAGGGATTTGTCTCCTTTCCTCCTCCTCACCACATCTGTGACCAGCACGGCCATGCCAGCAGGAAGGGGAGCCTTGAGCTGTTCACCTTCACTGTGTAAAACTCATTTCCACCTGAAATCCTTGTGTTAGCATCTACGTGGGCCAGAGCTCCAGAGCTGGAAGCTCTGCACGCTGTGTTAGCAGCGCACTGGCTGGTGTGGCTGTGCCTCACTTCAACTTTTGCTGTCCCTGCTTCTCCCCAGTTAGTCCATCGTGCCAGACAGCCCACGAGAAGGCAGCAGATCAGTGATGGAACTTGTCTGTGGCACCAGGTCTCGCTTTGGGCTGCCTCGTGCGGGTGAGATGCTGAGAGCCCCCTCTGCAGCGCTGGTGCCGGCGGTGTGAGGGTGTCTGCCCTGGCCAAGGGCATCAGGGTTTTTTAATGCCATCCTCTGAAGCGTGAGGCCACCATGTGGGGGCTGATCACAGGGTTGATGGACCCCTTGGCCCTGCTCTGGAGCAACCTCCCATCAGCTGGAGACCTACCTATGTTTACTTGCAGGTGTGGACATCATAGACACGTATGCACTCCTGGCAGCTCACGTAGCAGCACCAGTGGAAGATGCAGTGACACTTCTCCTTCCGTTTCTCAGTCCTGGTGTTGTGGCCACGACCGCAGCACAGCAGGTCACAGCCATCGATCCCATGGGAGGTGACATTGCATGTTCTGTCCCTTGTCCCAAAGGAGCCTGTCTCTGGGTTGGGCTCACAGAAATTGGGGGAGTTCTCATAGTAGACCAGATCCCGCTCCGTTGGTGGCTTGAAAAGAGCGTACTTGGCCCTCAGAGTTTCTACCCATCCCCGAGATTCACGGTGCTTTTCAACCACCATCTCGGAGGCGCTGTCGTATTTGTCCTTCAGGTAGTCACCAATAGCCCGGAAATCAGGCTGGGCCCACCAGCAGGTCTTCACCTCGCAGCTTCCTGAGAGACCGTGGCACTTGCACTTCAAGTGCATGTGGTCCAGGATGGTCTGTCCAGGGGAGAGAAAACAAGGTGGTCAGCAGCGGGTTGTGATGCCCAGTGTGTGGTCACCTGCCTTTGCTACCTGGATTTAAACGTCTGATCTGAGCTAGGTCTGGAAAGCATGGGCTGGTTGTAAATGTGTGGGAGCTTTGGTGGGTGGTGGAAACATCTCTAGATGGAGACAGCCCTCTGGAAAAGCACAGCTGTGGTGGGCAGCTGCTCTAATCATCTGTCCAATCCAATCTAATCCCAAGGTCCAATCATAGAATCATGGAATAACTTGGGTTGGAAGGGACCTTAAAGCTCATCCTGTTCCAACCCCCTGCCACGTGCAGGGACACCTTCCACTAGAGCAGGTTGCTCCAAGCCCCTGTGTCCAACCTGGCCTTGAACACTGCCAGGGATGGGGCAGCCACAGCTCCTCTGGGCACCCTGTGCCAGCGCCTCAGCACCCTCATTTTAGCTCTTCTTAACCCCCTGCTGCCTGTTTGGAGAGAGTGGAAATGCTGTACCCTGGAAAATAACCCTTGAGAGCTCTGGCCCAGGCATTGTAGTGGTCCCATTACACCCAGGGGAGTAGCACACAAGGCATGACGAGAGCTCTGGACCCGCTGAGCACTCACCGTCCTGCCGGCCTCGTTGTTGTGTCTGTTCATGGCTGAGCGCGCGTCCGGCCGGTTCTCTCGGGCATCAGCGAATTCCCGGGACACCAACACGCCGAAGTCAGCATCTTCGCTGCATCCCCCCCATTTCCAGCCATCTCCCGGAGGTCCTTTGTGATGGGAGTCACAGCCGCAGATGGTGGACGTGCCCTCAGCACAGGAGCGGGTTACAGCGAAGGCCACCCCTGCCGATGCGATGGCGTGGACAAAGGCAGACTCTCGTGTAGCTGGGAATAAACAGAGCCCAGGGGATTATCAGTCAATGTCACACTTGGGTTTTCCCTCCTAACCTCCATCAGCATCATAGAATCACAGAATCCCAACATGGTTTATGTTGGGAGGGACCTTAAAGCTCCTCCAGCTCCAACCCCTGCCACGGGCAGGGACACCTTCCACTAGAGCAGGTTGCTCCAAGCCCCTGTGCCCAACCTGGCCTTGAACACTGCCAGGGATGGGGCAGCCACAGCTTCTCTGGGCACCCTGTGCCAGCACCTCACCTAAATCTCATCTAAATTTCATCAAAAAGTTAAAAGCTATTTTATTGCTCTTTAAATGACCATGTTCTGAGTCAGGTGCTGCTGGCACCACCTTCTGAAGCACACAGGCAGCAGTTGATAGAAGCGTGCCTCCAGGTCTGCAGCAGTGACCTGGTTCTTCAGCTACAGAGCTCTGCTTAGGTGTTCTTATAGCTTCTTGGTGTGTTTTACAGTGTTCTACTGTTCCTCCTCAGTTTGAAATCAACTGGAGCTTGACCGTTGACTTCAAGAAGGCTGTAGTAAATACAGGCTTTCCCAAGCACAGCCGAAATGGTATCTCAGTCTCAACTTTCTCCCTGGGGACATCTTTTGGTTGAGATCTCTCGGTTTTGCCACAGGCTGCAGAAGTACAGCACCCTTGTGAATGACACTAGAGTGCTTTGACCCAATGTGCCACCTTATAAAGATGGAGACTTGAGGTCTTTACATTCAGAATAGATGTTGGAGTCAACCCAACCTCATGCACAATGTGCAGGAGACTAGGAAGGTGCTGAAGGCAGGTGCCTAGGGAAGATTACTGGTGGATGGTGTCCTTGGGTGTTCTGCAGGAGATGTTTCCAGCTGCCTCATGGGTGTAGCTTGGCCAAATGATCAAGACAGTTCTCCATCCCTCAGTGTGGGATGAAGTCAGGATTTTCTGCTGGCTCAGACCAGCGATGACCTTGGAGACTATCCCCTCCTTCCAGAGCAGGAGCTGCCCCATGCATCCCTCAGCTGCCCCATGCATCCCTCAGCTGCCCCATGCATCCCTCAGCTGCTCTTGCCTCGTGCCCTAGGGAAGGTCTTTGTTGCACCAGGTCTTGCTCCTGGGCTGCAGACTTCTCTGCAGGGGTGGGATAGAGCTTCCAACAATCAGGCATCTCAAACTTGGCTAATTTCACCCCATGCAGGCAGTTGGAAGGGGCAGCTCGTGGGTATGTGCCAGCACATCTCTGCTGCAGCGTGGGGAACTCGGATCCAGGTGATCCTAAACCAGGGCTGCTCAAGCCAGAGGGACCATGCTGTGGGTTTCGCTTTCTTTAATTCAAACTCTTCCCTCCTTGCCCTTCCCACCTCCAATACACCAGCAGAGATCCAGCCTCTACCTACTGAAGTTTTCCTTAGATACCTTTCACCAGCTGCTTATATTGGGACCTCTGGGGGCTACAGGCCACTGGTTGAAGATCACTGCTTCAGCTGGAGTGGTTCAGCCTGACAAAGGCTATTTGGGTGGCCTGTGATCTACAGCAGATCAGATTAGAGGAGCTAGTGAGCCCTTCTGGCCTCAGACCAGGACAGCTCAGGGGCAGAGGGGGAGGACACGAGCCGCTCTCCCTGCTGATGTGCCTTTGCTTTCCATCCCAGGGAGTGGGATGAAAAAGGGATGGGAATGGGATGGAGAGTTGCTGCGTGTCTGTGCAGAGCATGGATGATGGGATGGGAGTCGAGCTGGGGCTGGTGCTGCCATGGCCACACAGAGGTGGGATGCAAACCACCCTCCAGCTGCCCCCCAGCACACCCTGTGCACCCCACGCGGTGCCGGGGTGGGGAGGAACGAAGTGCAAACGCAAACACTTCGCCTTGAAATTCTCCCCTGGGTCTAAGCGAGGAGCTGGGAGAATTTCCCAGAGATGAAATGCGGGAACAACGTTCCCAGAACCAGGGGAGGGGCTGGCGAGAGAGGATTAGAGCCGCCTTGACAGTGCACTACTGCAACTGTCTCCCAGCCAGGCCCGTTACCTGCTGGGACACTCAATTTCCCATTGTTCCCGCGGTGTCACACTGTATTACCAGCATAATGCAGAATGTTTCCGCCGGCCAGCGTACCCACGGCACAGAGCACTGGCATTCCCCAGGAGCACCTCGTAGCAACGGGGCAATGTTCCCCTGTCCTGCCGTCACCCTCCAATCCCGCCAGCCCGGCTGGGAAATCCCTATTGATGGCGCTCCCCAGCCCCCCGCCACCGGATCAGAATGGCTAAAGGGCGTGTGAATGCTGCAGTGATTTGAAACGACTGCAGCGCTGGGATGGTATCGCTCGCCCTGCCTCACAGTAGGGGAGGAAGCTTAGCTCTTTCTCATCGGTATAAGCTTATTTTTCTCTCTCCCTCTTCTCCTTTTCCCTCCCCCCTTTCCCTTTAAGCCGTTGAGTTTATATCAAGACGGCCCCTGATCCCACACACCCCTTGTTTAGATGCAAATGACTGCAAGTGTCATGGCTGAGAAAAGCCGTGGGTTATCTCAGTGCGGGGCTGGCTTTTCACAGCTCGTGGCAGGGGCTTAGATGAACACACAAGGACCCCCAAAGGCAGCCCAGGCCCAGCTGCCTTCTCTGCACCTGGCTCCTCGCACCACAAGATGCTGCCCTGGACGGTGCCGATGGCAAGAAGATTGAGCCCGACCATGGTTGAGGAGGAGAGGAGCCTTCTGGAGAACCGGTGGACAAGGAGAGCACGCAAAGGGCAACTGCGGTGCGAGGAGGCAGGGGAAGAGCCATTCCCCTGTTGCGTGGGGTGATGTAGGAGCTTGCTCCTGCCAAACTCCTTCCTGCAGATCCAGTCCTGCCTGCGGCTCAGAGACCTCTCCTCCATCCCAGGAGTCACCCTCCAGGTGCCTCTGGGGCCTTCCTGCCTCGTGCACTCACAACCAGCTCATTTCAGGCACGGTGCTTTAACCAGAATCATGGACTTTATCACTTTCTCACTGCTCGCCCTCCCAGAGCAACAGCAAGTGACCTGGCTGTTGGCTTAAGTTTGGCTTTGGGGCAGGACTTGGCTGGACGAGACGTTGTCTTTTAATAAGAACTGACCTTATTTTAAGTAGAAAAGGGAGGGAGAAGAGAGGGGAGGGAAAAGCAGGTTTTTCTTCCCTCCTTGTCCCAGACTGCACACCTGCAGTATAAATCATCTTGGGGAATTTGCTTGTAAAAACATGATCTTACCCCACGTTCTGGGGTTGGGTTTTGGGTTTGGTGGTTGGGTGTTTGTTTTTTTTTTATCATAGCCCAGGTTAGAAAAAACAACATGCAAAAAAAGAAGAAGAAAACTTGCAGGGAGATGATCAGTTTTCCATGGCCCTGGAAAATCAACCGGCTGCGAAGGGAGAGATGGTGAAGCTGAGAAGCGAAGTGAGATGGGGATGGGATGGGAGACTGTGGTGGCAGGGGCCTGTTGGGCCATTTCAGGGAGGGACGTCCCGTGCTCCCACACTGACACCAGCGCTCAAAGCCTCGATGATGTGCCCAGAAGGAGCAACCAAGAAAGGCTTGAACACGTGTGCTATAGAGGGTCCACACAGCCCAACCACTGCAAGCGGCTCCAGCCTTTCCCCACACTGCCTTGCTCCTCAGACTAAGCTCTCCTTGATGGACCAACCCTGATTAACATTTTTGCAGTTCCTTTAAACTGAAATTATCTTCAATTTCTTTTTTAGGCTGTATTAGAAATCATTTTCTATGCTATTGTAGTGAGAAATGCACCTTTGAAGTTTTTTTCCATAATAGCTTCTATCTACTTAAGGGAGTAGTAGATGAGATTAACGTAAATATTGCTCTTTGATACTTAGAGGTGATTTCATCCAGGTAGTTATCATAGCTTAAATACTGGCTATTTTGGGCTTAGTGTTTAATGCCTGTTGGCCTAATGCACAGCCCAAGCTGCAGTAGTGATTGTTGTCTAGTTTGAGCCTTAGTTTGTGGGGTTACACCCCTCTGTGGTCCTGGAAGTCAACAGGAAAGGAACACAGCGATAGAGGCCACATGCTCAGGGCCAGACAAAAACCCAGCTGGCAACAATTGCAGATCTCAGTTCCAGGTTATGGGCTCAAAACTCTTGATTTCTGTTGTTGCTGCATCTAAGGAAAGTGGGACAAGAGCCTGAGAGAAGGTTATGCTGTGCAGGCAACAGACGTGTTCAGCAACACTATCCACGCTGCCCTTGCAGATTCATCACAGCTAACGAGATCTACCAGGGCAGGACGAAAGCCTTTTTATTGCCAATGTTCTCTCTTCCTTCAGCTGAGAAAGCAGTGGCTGGAAAGGTTGTTTCTAAAGAATCAAAGAATCCCAGACTGGTTTGGGTTGAAGGGACCTTAAAGCTCCTCCAGTTCCAACCCCTGCCACGGGCAGGGACACCTTCCACTAGAGCAGGTTGCTCCAAGCCCCTGTGTCCAACCTGCCCTTGAACACTGCCAGGGATGGGGCAGCCACAGCTTCTCTGGGCACCCTGTGCCAGCGCCTCAGCACCCTCACAGGGAAGAGCTGCTGCCTCAGAGCTCATCTCACTCTCCCCTCTGGCAGGTTCAAGCCATTCCCCTTGTCCTGTCCCTATGGTCAAAAATGCCACTACTCCCATTGCAAACATCATCGCAACATGGATGAAATGAGCCCCATCCCCTCTCCTCTCATTAATTTTCAAGGCAGCAGTGAGAAGACATCAGCACAGTTAAAAATGCCAATAATAACCCCAATCAAGTGGGTTGGACTTTGATGTATCGTTATTTGCAGATGATGCTGTTTATTTTTATCTGTTCTACTTACAGGTTAGTGAGACACCAGGATAACCACAGCTCGGAAGCTCCGAGCCTGGCAGTGCTCCCTAGGAGATATCGATGCGTCAAGGTTTGATTGGGAGAGCTGCATAACGAATGTGCTCAATAATTCTTTCCCATCTGTCAGAAGAGTTTCAGAGCTAGGGGTGATATTTTACTTTGTCAGCTTGGAGTGCATGGGGGTGTTGAGGCATGTCCACACATGAGGTTCTGCTCTAGTCCCTGCAGCCCAAAGAATCTTTACATACTCTTCATGAATTCAAAGTTCAGTTTGCTTATTATGAGGAGGATGGTTCAAACCCAATTTTAAAGTGCTTTCATGCTGACAGCAACGGTGGTGAGAGATTTTCAGTGCCTGAATGCTCTAACAGCTCTTTTGTAATGTGTTTAAAATGTTTATGATGGGGGGTTTTTATGACAGTTTTTCAGAACATTCAAACTTTCTGATCTTGTAAGAGCTGAAGTTCAGGCCATGCTTTTATCAGGCAGCAAGCTAGAGTGTGGCAAGCCTTGATGACAAGTTACTTGGTAGGAAATACAGCAGCTACCCCAAAATACATCCTGGCAAACCGGGAGGGAATTGAACCTCATGGTTCCTCTTAGCACTCTAATGGGACTTCTCAATCCTGATTGCTGCAGAGAATCACACTTTAACCCAAAGGAGTTCCTTTCCCTGACCTGAGCTGCTGGTGTTTCAGGAAGCTCTGCCAAGGCTGGAGCTTGACAAAAACTGGCATCAGCTGTTTATGTGCAGAATGTTGGAGCTTTGTAAGGAAGATTCCCCAGGAGATTTGCAGCCTCCAGGAGACTGTTGGGAAATAGTCTCATGTCCTCGTTTCAACCCAGGTTTCTCCAGTTTCTCAAAGGCCATAGCATAAGATTCTCATTTCCAAAGACTAATTTACTTTCAATAACTAAACTTCATCGGACTGCAGAGGCTTGGTGCATGTCAGTACCATACCTCTAGTGGAACCCCCATGGCAGGGGGTTGGAACTGGATGATCTTAAGGTCCTTTCCAAGCCAAACCCAATTCTATGATTCCAGTGAAGCTTTGGAAATGGTTTTAGTTACATATATTGGAGCTGTGAAACCAATATCTGCAGATGTCTAAACTCAACATGGAGACAACAAACTCCATGGGATGGGATGGACAGAGGGAGGTTTTTATCCACCATTTAGGTCAGTTTCATGGGAATGCTTTCTGATCTGAGGTCTTGGATTGCTAACTGGACATGGGATAGAGTATCTGTCACCAAAGTCCTCCAGCACCCTCCTTTGAGGCCGAATTTGGCTGCAGGATGATGGTGCAGGTACCCAGCTGTCTTGGGGACCAACATCTCAGTGTAATGCCCAGGTTGTGACCTCACTGGGAATCCCAACTTTATTGTGCCTTATCAATGAGCTTCCAATGTGCCTGATCCACACAAGCGGGTCTCAGGAGGAGGAGATGAAGGGGAACAAGCAGGTGTGTTTGGAGACAGGAGAGGGAAAATACATTTACTCTTCCTTTTCTTGTTACCAGCCCTGACTGTTTTGGGCTCATCTGTGAAAAGATATGTTGAAATCCCAACTAAGCCTGATCAGAACCTTGGATTTCAACCATGGCTTGTCACTGGTGGGAAAACTTCTGCCCACTGGCCTCCTGGGGTAGACAATGCTTCAAAGGGCCTGCTTTGACCCCAAGGAGCTTGACCCCAACCCTCTTCCTTGGCTTTTTCCCTGTTATTTGGAAGTGCTGCACGCCCTGGGCAGGGAGGATGGAGCCCAAGATCCCCTTTCTCGCCTTTATCCTGCCTGTCCCTGCTTAGAGCTCCTGGGAGGGGAAGGGGCCCTTCCCTCACGACCCCTTTTGATGTAACACTCCAAAAGATAACTGGGAAAAAGAAACTGGAGAAATGAAAGCTGGGATGACTCTTCCCAGAACGTGCTCCCAGTAGGATATTCTTGGTGTATCCAAAAGCCAAGGGGAGATGCCACAGCTCTCCCCTCCCTGCCAGACCTATTTGTCCACAACCCCCCAGCTCTGCTCTTTACCTTTGTCCAGGACTGGCCCGAAGATGGCCAGGCTGTCATCGATGGTGGTGCAGTTCCAGCGCCGGCCCCGGAACTGGTGCTGGCATTTTGGATGCCCAACTTCACCCCCTCGGCCACACTGGGCATGATCTCAATGTAGTTGCGGCAGAAGCGGAGCTGCTTGGGGACGAGGCCGGGGATGGAGCCGCAGAGGATGGGCTGGGACCCCAGAGAGCTGTACTGCTGACCTAGTGCAAGGGACCTGCAGGGACAGAGGACAGCGTCGGGTTGGGAAGCCAGCTGGCACTGCTCTGCTGCCCACAGCTTTGCCCACAGAAGGGGACAGACTCATCTTCCCAGCATCAACTCACAACCCAGACGTTCACACTCAAGGGCAGGATCACAAAAGCCCCACAGCTCTGCTGGGCTGGGAGACTCCCTTTCATCACTGTGTGTACAAGTGTGAGCAGACAGATGTGCACATAAAGGTGGGCTTTTGTGTGTGTGAGAGAGCAGCGCACAACACGAGGAGCTTGGGTGCCTATGGCAAACGCAGGGGAAGTCGCTTTTCTCTTTCTCTGCTTAATCCCTTAAATCTCTCAGGAGTCCTGACACCGTCTGTCAGGCCACTGACTCCTTTTCTTCGCATCTGATAGTGCTAGACACAGAAAAGCTGTGGATCCAGCAGTTTCAAGATGATTCTCTGTGATTCCCGTTGGTCTGGGATGAACTAAACTGTGGGAATAAATGGCCTTGTGCAGATCCTCTTTCTGCAGCTTCTGGTGGGTACATCCTTGCATCCTTGAAGAGGTTGTAATGTCTCCTCATTGCCTTATCGTGGGAGACACTGTGCCCACCCTCTCAATTTCATCTTCTCATTTGGGCCACTTTCCGTGTTTGGAAAGACACGTGGTATCCAGAGAAATTAGACCTAATCGTATTTGAAAGCACCAGGGTTTGGCCAGATTAGAGCTGTGCCAAAACACATGAAAAAGGAGTTCTTAGGATGAACACTAAGAAAGGTTTCCTGCTAGTGAGACCAAAAGCTTCTGGGACATTTCTTCTTCCCCCTCTGCCTATGGGACATGTAGGTTTATAAGTACCAGACCTCCTTTGGCTCTGAGTCTTGGGCGACATGGTCTAGTGTGAGGTGTCCCTGCTTGTGGCAGGGGGTTGGAGCTGGATGATCCTAAGGTTCTTTCCAACCCAAACCATTCTATGATTCCTTGTGAGTGCTGGGGAGCCACGACACTGTCACCTTCTCCCTTTGTCTCAGCATCAACTAAATACAGCTCCTCTTCCCAACACCTCGAGAGCCATGGCCAGCAACACTCCCTGAGGGCTCCAAGGACCTGGTAGAAATGAGACTCTCTTAAAACACAGTATTACCTCCCACAGCAGCTCAGGTCACTGCTTTATAATGTTACAAGGCAAACATCCTGCCTGCCTGTGCCCTCTAACGCCTCGTCAATGCCCCGTATCGATCCCTGCACTGGGAAAACTCGGGATCAGCAGGAGAAAACCAGCTCCCAGCTGAGCTCTAATTTGCCACCCGCTGTCCTGGAGAAAAACTTTCTCTGCCCGAAGGTTTCTCGTTGTGCTATTTTTAGGCATATTTGGCATTTTCCAGTTCTGGGCCATGTTCTGTATAAAAGGGGTGATTGTCCAGGCTGGCACTCCCCTGGTTTGCCGTGCAGAGTGGCCATAGGGTGGTGCATTGAAATGCACGTTGGGAGCCAGGAGTTTTCCTACTGGCTCCTTCTCTTCATTTAGTGCTGTACGAGCCCTTCCCAGCTCCCACCAGTTTTGCTCTTTCCTTCCTAGCAGAGGCCTCCTCACACATTTACTTTACAGGTAACTAAAGGGCTGTGCAAAATCAGGGCAGGCAGATGTGTGGGGTCAACACAAACCTTCCAGGAGAGCCAGGCCCTGTCGGTTTTGTTCTGGTGCATTGGAACTGTCTAGCTCAGCCTGATGCAATGCTCAAGGTGTCTTCACCAAGTGGCAGACGTTCATTTTAAGTTCAGAGATCATGAATCTCACCCTGACTTTGATAGAGGTGTCCTCAGCTGCAAAGAAGTACCTCCAGCTGCTAACTCTGACCTGCTGCTGCCTGACCTTTGCGAGGGGTATTATAGCTGGTGTAATATTCATACCTTTTCATTCTTACAGTTTGCTGACGGCAGCCCTTTGTGAACAGGGCAAGACACAAATTCTTGGGTTTGCCTGAAGATCAAGAGCAGCAAAAGGGAAAGTGTTGCAAGTCAAAGCATGCAATATATATGCACATGTGAGCTCGAGAAACGCCAGGTCGTGGCTGCATATAGAGAACAAAAAAAGGACAGAATTCGAATAAGGAATGTTGCAGTTCAGTCGGGAACTGGGGAGCCTTTGCTCATAAATCACCCACTATTGGATCTCTACTGAACGTGTCTTGAGTTTTGAGCTTCTCTGTAGAGTGAGCACTTGTGTCCCGGGTGTGAGATACCACCATTACCACGGACTCTCCACCAGACTTTGCAGTCCTTGGTGGGCTCACAGAAACAGGCAGGAAATTCATTCTTTTTATAAAAATAGATTAAACTGCCAAAGGCTGATCCCTTAGACAGGGGTGAGTCCCATGGGCACACGGCTGGATGTAGGGATTATTTCTGTATTAACACCCTGGAAAGTCTCTCTCTGTAGACTTCACACCCTGGTGCGATGCGACCTCTTGAACAGGAGAGCTTTTTATCCTTTTCCAGTTGGTGTGTTTGGAAATCACCTCATTGTGTGTGTGTGAATGCTGTGAGCTGCCCAAAATCCAGCAGCCCACAGGGCCGGGTTCTCCCCGGTTAAGATTCTCCCTCAATTTAGTCACATCTAAGGGCTAGAAACCTTTCTAAAACCTTCACAAAGGCAACAGTTCATCTGGGAATCACTCCCAAACTTGTGGCTGCTTCGAAATAGGTTAAGCATCCTTCTGAGAGCTCTCCCAGAGGGACAGGTCAAGGCAGTTCAATGCCTCTAGGTCCTGGGTGACTTCTTATTTGTTGTCCACATGTAGCCAAGGCCCTCAGTGACATGGTTTAGTGGTGGTCTTGGGGAATGGTTGGACTTGATGATCTTAAAGATCTTTTCCAACTGAGTTGATTCTATGATTCACGTAACACAGTGGTGCCTCCATCCACAAGCTGTGTCCTACCTACAGCTCCAGAGCCCTCTTCCAGCAACCTCTTCTAGGAGGGCTTAATCCCTCCTCCAACCTCTGCAGGACAGACAGACATACGCAGAGGTGGGGAAAGGCCAAAGTGGTCAACCCGTGTTGTTCAGGAGCACATAGCACCAGCGGGATGGGAATTTGGCACCCTGCTCCAGTTATGGAGAAATGGTGATTATTTCCAGAAGGAAACAAGGAGAAAGCACTTAATGAAATGATCCTTTGATGAGTGTTCCGAGGGTTGGACAGCATGTACCCTGCCTGTAATCCCAGATGAAGGGAGAGGTGCTTTTATTGCATGTGCTTTTATTTGGAGAGATCAGAACGATGATTTCTCAGGTGTAGCTAAAAAATGAATGCTGCAAAGGAATGCTGAAGAGAGGAGCTGCTTATTCTGAGGGATTGCAGGGAGATGCTCGTGTTGTTTATTTTAGCCTCCAATCAACACTGACGTTGAAGTAGCTACTGAAACACATCCCAGGCTAAATCTGCATTAAGTCAAATGAAAAGCCCCGTATCTTGAGCTCGTTCAGCCTGGAGAAGGCTCCTGAAGGGGACACCTTAGAGCAGCTCCAGGGCCTAAAGGGGCTCCAGGAAACCTGGAGAGGGACTGTGGACAAGGGAAGGAGGGACAGTACAAGGGCGAATGGCTTGAACCTGCCAGAGGGGAGACTGAGATGAGCTCTGAGGCAGAAGCTCTTCCCTGTGAGGGTGCTGAGGCGCTGGCACAGGGTGCCCAGAGAAGCTGTGGCTGCCCCATCCCTGGCAGTGTTCAAGGCCAGGTTGGACACAGGGCTGGGGCAGCCACATGCTCTAGTGGAAGGTGTCCCTGCCCATGGCAGGAGTTGGAGCTGGAGGACCCTTAAGGCCCCTTCAACCCAAACCAGGCTGGGGTTCTATGGTGCTCCACCAGAGTAACACCAGGCAATGAGCACTGGTTTAGGGGCCTCTCAAAGTGGGGCGATATATGACTATTTCACTCAAGAAGGAATTGCAAGCCCTCTGCCAGCTCACTGTGATCAAGTTGGTGCTGAATTCTGCAGCAGCTGATCCATGCTGAGTGCACTTCTGGGCTTGCTGGGAGCAGGTTTCCATCCTCCCATCGACTGTGTTGTTGGGAAACAGTGTCGAAATCATTAAGTACCTTCTGCAAGAGGTGGAGGGATTGGGTCCTGCTGAGTCTGAAGAACTGTCAAACCACAGAGAGGCACCAGCAAAGTGGTGACTGTTGTTTGCTGGTGGGAAATGGTCATTTGCTGACAGTTCAATGGGAAACTGAAGCTGGGAAAGCCTGGGCTGCTGGGGCCCCTGGGATCTGCTGATAGAGACAGAGCAGGACAAAGAAACCCAGCCTGGTTTGGGTCCTAGGAGCTACTACCACTTCTTGGGAAGTGAAGCAGTGCATAACAGGTAGTACACTTGTGCCAAAAGAATTGCCTTGAAGTCACCTGAGACTGGCAATTCAAGCAGACAGGAGCAGCAGCCTCCAAAGAGGGATGGAGCATACAATTTCTCTGGCCAGATGTGGGCTCTGCCTGGCTGCAGGGGGCTGAACACCAGGCTTGACTGTAGATGTGCAAGGTTTGGGAGGCAGAGTGCTCTGCCCTGCCAAGCAGCTGGATTTGCAGCAGTGAGCGTGGGTCCATCTGGAAAGTCCTCACCAAATTGTCTCCTCCTCAAATCTGTTGGAGCGAGGCCCTTCCAAAGGCCATTGACCACTCCAGGTTGAATGGGTGATCTCAGCCCCATGGCTCGGTTACTGATGCCAAAGCCAGGCTGGCCAGACCAGCCTCTAGGAGCAGAGAGGCCAATTTCTTCTGAGGTCCCTGAGGTGGGGGTCTCCAGCCAGTTTCCTAAGGGCTCAACAAGCCTTGTCCTGCATTATTGCAGGGTACTGAAGGAGGGTGGTGAGTCTGGCAGAGACACCGCAGCAGGAAAAGAAAGTGCCAGTGAGTAGATGGATGGCAGAGAAGGCAAGAAGAAGCTTGCCCTGTAGACAGACTGGCAGAGGCTGGATTACTCTAAGCTTTGAGCATTTAATCCCAGGGAGACATGAATGGGAA